GGTGGACTTCTGAGCCTCCATTTTCTATTATTGAGCGCAATCGAACGTTGCGCGCTGCATGAATATACAGATATCTTTGAACATCCTGAGCTAATTGATATACCTGCTCCGAAATGCCTGGATTACCAGGTAAGCATTCTTCCCTCTACTCGTCCTGTGCGGCCCCTCACCGTTGGATCAGCTAGTATCGACCTCGACGAGTGCATTGAGAGACTCTACCGGAAAGAGTTGCTGGCAGACTCGGTGATCGAAGCGATATGTGCCAAGGCGAAGGAATTGCTGATGAAAGAGAGCAATGTCGTCCACATTGCGGCTCCGGTCACGGTGGTCGGAGACATCCATGGACAGTTCTTCGACATGATTGAGATATTCAAGATCGGAGGATTCTGTCCCAATACAAACTACTTATTTCTCGGTTAGTATTCCGCGTGATATTATACTGGTGATTGGCGGGGAAAGAAGGGAATGGGCAGCAACAAGAGAAAGCGTGCCGATCCCCAGAGAGATTTCGGTTTATGTGTGAGCATGAGTGCTGACGGACGTCCTTCCAATCAAACAGGCGACTATGTGGACCGAGGCTTGTTCAGCGTGGAGACCATCTCCCTCCTCGTATGCTTGAAACTACGATACCCCCAGCGCGTCCATCTTATCCGCGGCAATCATGAGTCGCGCGGTGTAACGCAATCATACGGATTCTATACGGAATGCGCGCGCAAATACGGCAATGCCAACGTCTGGCATTATTTCACGGATATGTTCGACTTCCTGACCCTCAGCGTGGTCATCAATGACCAGATCTTCTGCGTCCACGGCGGCCTATCCCCATCTATCCACTCCATCGACCAAATCAAAATCATCGACCGGTTCCGCGAAATCCCACACGAAGGTCCCATGGCTGATCTGGTTTGGTCGGATCCCGACACCGAACGGGATGAATTTTCCCTGTCGCCGCGTGGAGCGGGCTATACCTTCGGTGCGCAGGTGGTCCGCAAATTCCTCGAGGTCAACAGCATGTCGCATATTCTACGGGCTCACCAGCTGTGTCAGGAGGGATATCAAGTTCTCTACGATGACCGGCTCAGTACGGTCTGGAGTGCACCGAATTACTGTTACCGGTGCGGAAACCTGGCTAGTGTCCTGGAGGTCAGTGATACAGGCGAACGGTATTTCAATATCTTTGACGCCGCGCCCGAAAATGATATCCATCGGGGCGAGCAGCAGGCGCAGCAGAACAAGGATGGCCAGAGTCCGGTGATTGACTACTTTCTGTGATACCCTTCTTATCTTTTTCCTTCTATTTTCTTTTTTTTTTTTTTTTTTTTTTTTTTTTTTTTTTTTTTTTTTTTTTTTTTCTCGATTCTCTTTACTTTTGCTGCCTGAGGTTGCTTTTTTTGCTTTTATTTTTGCTTCTTTCCCTTTTTTTATGTCCTTTTTCCCTTTTTTTTTCTTGTGTCTTTTTTCAAACCCACATCCTCTTACACATCATTCAAGGATCTTCTTGGGGAGTTTGGTAAATATCACAGGCATTTATAGACAATATCCCAGGGTGCGATGTACGACAGCAGATGCAGTTAGAAAATTTAGAAAATTAGTCGGTCACACAGGATTTCTCGGTTCCCAGAGAGGAGAAACAGAAAAAGAAAAAGGCCCAGGACAGGATAGGACCGGGCCGGGCCGCACGCAAAACGGCCCTTAGTATGTATGCATAGTATGCGGTTATCGGGATGTAGTAGATGGGGCGGTTAAATTGCCAGATACTCAAAGCCACTCATAAAAAGATCCTAGCAGACAATAAAAGGGTTGTAAAAATATAATATTGTATTCCAGAACTCGGACAATAGTAAAGATGCGGATAGGTAGGTAGGTCCAACGCTAGTAAAACTGCGAAGAAAAGGCAGGGATATGGTGTGATGTGCTTGCGCTTCTCATGGAGTATGATATGGGTAGGTAGTTCATAGTTTCATATATGAGAGGATGGGAAAAGAAAGAAAGAGAGAAAGAAATTTGCGATGGGAAAAGCCAGAAAGCAGAGCCAGTCTGACTGACTATTCTAAACGACAAAATTCATTTCATTCTTTCTACCAGTCCTTGGCGATGTCGAAGGACCACTCGAACTGGAGGTGGGTGTGGTTGTCGTCGTCGACGAACTTGGACACGGCGTTGTAGTGGCCACGGGAGATCATGCCCGAAGGGGCTTCCTCGGCGTTGACTGTGAGTGTGTTAGGTACGGATCCCTTTACTGTGGAGTTGTATGGGGGAGGGCAGTTAATGAGCAGCTTACATTTCTTCTCGTAGAAGGGCTTGTCGGTGGTGCTGGGGGCGTAGCTTCCCTATAGGCGAGTGAGTAACATCCTGCCACGATTATCGAAATTAGAGCACTTACCAGCATCTCCTCGTCCTTGCTAACTCTGATACCCTTGCGCTTCACTACCTGAAGGTACTTGAGACCGCTCAGAACCTCATGGTGCACCTGGAAGACGACCTTGATGTGGAAGACGGCACCCTCCTTGATCTTGAAGGGCTTGTCCTTGAGGGTGTCGAGCGCATTGGGAGTAGACAGATCAATCACAACATCGGGGCGTCCTTCCACCTCCAGGGCAAGGGACTTGATGATGCACTTTCTGGGGTCATTGGGGTCGCCAATGGGAGTTCCAGTGGCCAGACCCAGAGAGGCCTTCCAGCGGTTGAGAGACTCGTCGTTCGCGTCTGTGAATGTTCCGAATTAGACAGGAATCAAGGCGGGTGGATGGTTTCAATGGAGAAAATAGGGTTATGCAAGAGACACCATTTCCAATTTCAACGGTGGAGTGTCAGGAATGCTTGCGATGTACGTCTGACGGGACTGAGCAGCAAGCAAGGGGGCGGCGGCGATGATAAATGCCACGAGGCTATTACCACGGGAAGTGGGAGGGGTATCGGATTGCCAGAGAGAGGGGCAGGCGAGCGTAGATAGCACATACCGAGGTTCTGGTACTCTTCAATGGTCTTCTTCTCTCCGACCTTGAAACCCTCGGTCTGGGAGGCAACGAGATCTTCTTCGTGCTCGGGCATGATTGTTGTTGGTGGGGTATTTGGAGATAGGGGGGAAATGGGAGGGAGAATGCTGATATTGCTCCTCACAAACGGGATATACAGACTAGAAAAAAAGGTGAGTCTTCGTCAGAAGAGACTAAGGAACATCGAACATCACGTACCAGACGATAGGAATACAGAAAAGTGCTGAGGAGAGAATTGTTTAGGAATGTTTTGGAGTGGAAGCAGTGGACTAAAGTAACAAGTGGGGGGAAGAAAGGCGGTGGAGGAGTGGATGGGAGTGGATGGAAGTGGATGGGCCAGACCAGACCATCTTCTTGCCTGGTGTCCGCCGAAAGATTAAGGGGAGCCAGAGCAATCCATGGAACAGGCCACGCAATGGGTATTTTTGGAACGGATGATAATTTGGGGATCTTGATCCTCTTTTGACTTCACGATCCTGTGACGAGAGATGAGACCATGCTAGGTTGCTATACAAACCCCGAGGTCCACCTCCCTGGATGGAAAGCCGGAGATGAGATGTCATAGAATTGCTACAGTCTGGTATCTACCATTGAGTATCAACTGCACTTGGAGGTGAATTATTTACTCGGTTTCGATTGGTTTGAATGGGATACTACTATCTTGGAAATACTCATATGTTGCTTGATAACTACAGTATCCATTAAGCCTTTTTATCCGGGTGGCTGCCGTGCAATTTACAGTAGCTTATTTCCTCATCCACGCTTAATTCCCGGTGATGAAGTTTGGGACTCTGGCGATTAGGCGAGAGATGATGATGTGCTTGCGTGCTGTATTCATACAACTCGATTGAGGCTCTACTATTATTATTCAATGCGCTTCAAGATGCACCTAATGATACTAGTAGTAGCTGGGCTGAGCTACCGTACTACCAAATGTGAATGGCCGTAGTACTTACTAGTAGTCGGGTTATTTATATCGCTGGTATACTACTAACCACTTACTAGTACTATAATATGTCTTGGACAAGTCTGGAGTTCGAGTGCTCAGGTTCAGTACTAGTAGTACTAATTACTCATTTGGAAAAGTTGCTTCAGCAATTGGAAGAAATACTAGGCCAGTGGTTAAGCTGTTTCATGCTTTGCAGACATGGTGGGCGTGTTTCATTCGAATCCAAGTTGCCCGAATGTCCAACTCAAGGCATATTGCGCATAGACATTATGCATGGTATATGCGGGTGGCCCAACTCAGCACCTACAAGTTATGAATCAATTCCAATACAGTCAAATCATTGCCTTGGACTTGAACCAGTAAAGGAAGGTTCTTCTGGTAGAAAAAGTAGATACTCTACGCGAACCGCAGCCATGGAACCCATTGCAACTTTGCAAGGAACCCGAAAACAACAAAAATCGTAATGGATGGGCGTCACGGGGACAACCGGCAGCGGTGAGGCGTCAAGGCAGCGATACCATGATGAGCCAAACACGTCACAACAGATACCGGGGGATGGGCCGGCACCGCAGATACTTGCTGTTTTGGCTTGTCCCACCAAAAACTAAGATTATGATTGGCTCAATGCTGCAGTGGTGTCACAGTAGCGCGGTACTGTGGGGGCTCCCAGACGGTCACAGCCGGTCACGGTGGGAATCAATCGCCCTCCCCAATTTGCTTTCGATTCCCTGATTATTTTCCTTCCCCTACGCATTTCTTTGATCCTGCTTATCGAACCCGCGCCCTGACTTCCATTCCATTATCACCTGGGTCGTCGCGGCTCTCTGCCTGAGCGTTCCTGTCCATCACCCGCTCATCTTAACCCGCGGTGCTTGTCTCTGTGCGCCCTCTTGTGGTGCCGTGTTTGCTTTCGCGACCTACCTCGCCTGGAGAGCGCCGACAGACGCGCCTGCAACGTGGCCGCCGTTTTGGCGACGCATCTTCTCTCATCACCAACCCTCATCCGATACCCCTCGCTTCTCCATTGACCCTGCTCGCGAGCCTGATCATTCATCATGGTGCGCTCACTGCCGAAGAAAAACAACCCTCTCATCCTTGCGGACGTGGCTCCTGCTTGTAAGTTATGATTCCAGCTAGCGCCCGAGCTCAGACTCGATCGTGGCATGCCGATATCTCCACCAAAGCGTGCGCAGACTAATTCGTCTCCTTCTACCTCCTGCGACATCAGACGATGAACTTCTTTCGCGCCGTCGTCTGGGAAAGACCAACCTCGCCGTGAAACCCACCCAGGTTGGCACGTCAAATGCGACAAAGCCTGAAAACCTTGGCCCCTTCGAGTATGCACACTTGCGCGCGCCGCTGCCTAGAGACCTCAAGGGCTCCGAGATTTTCCCCTCACACTCGCCTCAACAGCATCCCGAAACTTACTTTTTGATGGTAAGGATGGCTGATAACGAACCATAACGTGATGTCATAGAATGGTTGTTGACCTGTCGCTATAGAGACGTAGCAAAGATGGATTTGTCAGTGCTACCGGAATGTTCAAGATTGCCTTCCCTTGGGCAAAGCTCGATGAAGAACGGTCTGAGCGGGAGTACCTGAAGACCCGGACAGAGACTAGCGAAGACGAGATCGCCGGTAATGTTTGGATCTCGCCCCTGCTTGGTAAGTATCACAATTCAGCAGATATGAATATTGTGCTGATTACTTGTAGCCCTTGAGCTAGCGAAGGAGTATCAAATGTACGACTGGGTTAGGGCCCTTCTCGATCCTACCGACATCGTCCAAAGTCCCTCGTCCGCGAAGAAGCAAATTACCCCGCCACCTCGGTTTGATTTGCCGCCGATCGAAGCCCCGGCCATTCTCACTGCACCACGCCTCCGTAGGGGACGGTCTGCTTCTCCAAGCAAGAAATCGACCTCCCCGCGTAAGCCCCGCCAGACTCGCGCCATGAAAGAGGCCAACGCCGCGGCGACTAGTGCTGCCAACGCCAGCCTTCAGTCTTCTTTGGACTTGACGGCTTCCACCGTGGAGTCGGAATCGGTCACCGGCACCGTTCATCAGAGCGTTGAAGTGGACGGCGACGAGAAGCCCGCTCCTACCCCGAAGAAACCGGCATCCGCATCCAAGGCGAAGAGGACGGCTGCTCGTGCGGAAGAGCCCGAGGAGAAGGAGGAGCAGGAACGTGAGAAGGTCAAGGTCGATGTTGAGACCAACGCGGAGACTGTTGACGAGGCCAAAACCTCCCAGACCACCGTTTCCGTTGAGATGCCTATCAGCCTTCCAGAGGCACCGTCTGCCGCCGATACCGAGCAGATGATCGCCAAGGCGAAAGAAATGGTAGAAGAGGCGGTCAAGCTTCAGACCGAGACGGCGGAGCCATCGTCGGCTAAGGCAGCTCAGAAGCGCAAGACGGAAGTGCTCAGCGACGATGACGAGGAAGAAGATGAGGAATCGAAGACCCTCCGTGTAAAGCGGGCCAAGGTTCTGGAGGAAAAGCTCAAGCAGGAGCGCGTGCGGAACCGTGCTCTTGTTGGCGTTACGGCTGCCTTTGCGCTTGCGTAAGTCTTGCATGGCGCCAAATCTTTCAAGTATATTGCTAACCTGCTTCACAGCGCCTCTATTCCGTATTTCTTCTAAACACCCTAGCCAATTTGGAAGCAAAATTGTCGTGATTATGCGCCGTGTCGGCTTGCCCAAGTCCAGCTCAAGTCTGGACAAATCCGCCATCGATTCCACCCCCTTGGAAAATCTACCCCTTATTCCCCAACTGCTATGGTTTTGAACAATGCTTAATGGACAGGCAGCCGAAGCTGTTCCTTATCCGTTCACAATTTGCCCCTACTCTGGAATTCATCCGAGTTCAGGCTTTGGCCAATCCACCCGAGCGCATCACGATCCCTAAGTCCCAATTGAAGTGATTCTTGATGTATCGTATTGGCCGCGAATATTTCTTTACTAATGATGCCGTCTGGGTGCGAGTGATGTGGTTCGCACGGGGGATTGGCCGGTGAGGTCCTGGCGATCGAGGAAAGCCTTGGGTTCGTTTCGTTCATTATCTATGCCGTTTCTTATTATCTCCTGGATACCTGATATACGCCTCTATAATGTGGTTTTCTTTTCCTTTTTCTATTTTCTGTTCTACACCATTTGGACCGGGGCTGCACCCTGGAGTCGTGATGCAATCGGGATGGTTTGACTGGATTGTGTTCGGAGTTATGTCATTGTTAGGTAGATTTGCAAATGATGGATATGCAGTAACTATGAATTGAACATTGCCATAGTAGGTATCTCGTATAGCACTTGAAGTATAACATAGATAACCTAAGATAATAGTAAGATGGGCGTCCTGCGTACGCGAACCAGTCGGGACGGTTCCGTCCTGCAAACAGGCTAAACATCGTCATTCTCTCCGCCTGTTCGGAGCTCTACCAGAAACTCCAGTCCGCATACCAACCTCCAGATAAAACACCCAATTATCTAGGCGGATGCCATGTCGCTCCCCGGTCTCGATCTAACACAGCCCTCCGCGGACCGCGAGTTCGCCCCCGCCCCGCCCTCTCAGATCAGTCTCTCCAAGGGCTCCGAGTGGCGGTTCGAAGTCGCCTTTGGCACGACCGTCCGCGTAAAGGTGAGCTACCATAACCCCCCTCCCCTCAAGCAATCTCCATCTCTCCCCAATTCAGAAAAAGAGACAGCTGACTGACATATCTACCACCTGGAGAACTAGCTCTTAGCCGGAACCGCCGAACTCTTCGGTACCGAACTAGCCCCCTCCCAAACCTACACCTTCTCCGGCACCAAAGCAGCAATCTACACTTGGCATGGATGTACGCTAGAAGTCAGCGCCGGAGAGGCCATCACCGGCCTAGACAGTCTCGCCCCGGGAGGAACGAATGGGACAGCGACGCGCGGACTCGGCGCGGGAGGCTGCCAGAGCGAGTACGTGGCGGAGGAAACACCGATGATTGAATATGCGAACGTGCATTTTGCGCTGGAGACGCTACGACAGGAGGCCAAGGCGACGGGGAAGGATGGCCCGCGGGTGCTGATTCTCGGACCTGAAGACGCGGGCAAGACGAGTCTGTCGAAGATCTTGACGGCGTATGCGACCAAGGTGGGACGGCAGCCGCTGGTGGTCAATTTAGATCCTACGGAGGGCATGTTGAGTGTTCCGGGGACGTTGACGGCTACGGCGTTCCGGACGATGATTGATGTTGAGGAAGGCTGGGGAAGTAGCCCTATGTCCGGGCCGAGTGCGGTGCCGGTGAAACTGCCTTTGGTGTACTTTTATCCGATGCAGAATCCGTTGGAGGCCGATGGATCGGTGTATAAGTCTATCGTGTCGAGGTTGGCGCTGTCGGTGACGGGGCGGATGGCCGAGGATGAGGATGCTAGAGAGACGGGGATTATTGTGGATACGCCGGGGATTTTGAGTCAGAGTAAGGCTGGGAATGTTGAGATGATCAACCATATTGTGACGGAGTTTGCGAGTGAGTTTTTCTTGATCCTGGTGAGGGTGTATGCGCTGACAGGTTTGACCCAGTTACGACGATTCTGGTTATTGGCTCCGAGCGACTGTACAGCATCATGATGAAGAACTTTGATAACAAGCCTACGGCTAGTGCGTCTGCAGCGGCGTCGGATGAGCGCATTTCGGTGATCAAGCTGTCCAAGTCCGGGGGTTGTGTTGATCGCGATGCGGCGTTCATGAAGGCTGTCAGTGAGTCGCAGATCCGGACATACTTCTTCGGCAACCCAATCCCTTCAACGGCATCGGCGGCGCTGTCACTGTCTGCGTCGTCGTCGTCGACAAATGTTACGTTGTCGCCGCATGCGCAGCAGCTGGACTTTGGCGCTTTAGCGGTCTACAACTACACCATCGCCTCAGCAGAGGAGGACGAAGATGAGTACGACCCGTCACAGCTGGGTACCGGCGATGCCTTCCTCCCCGGCGGGAGCAACGACGTGGATCTGGGACAGACTCCGCAGGAAGAGACCCCGGTAGCACCGACGCTGCCTGGGATTGCTGGACCGGTGAAGGAAACGGTGACGCCGACTGGGTCGTCCAACGTGCCACTGAAGAAGGTGCTACCTCCTGCGCCGACAGCGCTGGCCAATTCGCTGCTGGCCATCACACATGCAAGCTCGACGGCCAGCCCGGCAGATGTGCGCGATGCCAGCATCATGGGCTTCCTGTACGTGGCGGACGTGGACGCGGAGAAGGGCAAGATCCGGGTGCTGGCGCCGGTTGGGGGTCGCGTGCCACCGCGGGCGATTGTATGGGGGAAGAAATGGCCTGGAGAGGTGGTGGGGTTAGTAGGATAATACCTAGTTACATAGCAGACATATTATGGCAGAATACTGTATTGCATATCTAAACTCCATCTTCTTGTCGCATTTAACCTAGCAAGGTCTAGATCCCTTCCTTACATACCAGACATGCTCCAACGGGATCGCCGCATACCTCCGCTCCGCCTCCTGACATTTCCCCAATTTCAACCTCCTCACCACATCGCATCGTCGAACACATTACCCTTCACATTAACTCTCCTTGAAATTCCTCCACCGACACATATTCACCATGGCCTGACACCATCCACTCGCTACACCGGCCCTCCACTCCCACCCACAAATACTACACCCAGCAACAACAACAACCACAACCACACCCAACTCACCTCCGCACACCATACTCACCACCAACCACACCACATACCCCCAAAGTCCAAAGACAAGCAAAGCAAAGCAAAGCATGCCCCGCCTCCACCCAACCTCCCTCCTCCTCTTCCCGCTCCGCGTACTCGCCATCCCATTCACAACCCTCATCGCACGCATCCCACACCTCCGCTCCCGACATCGCCGCACCCGCACCCTAACCATGCTCCTCCCATTGCTCATCCTCCTCCTCATCCTCCTCGCCCTCCTGCCCCTATACATAATCTACCGGCCGCCGCACGCCCTCATCCGCTCCATGGCGGAGAAGTACCCGGATACGTTATGGGAGATACCACCACTGCCCAACACTAACAAGAACAACGGAGGAAAAGAAGCACCGAAAGAGAAAATCCTCGCCCTAACCATCGACGACGCCCCCAGCGCCTACACCCTCGACATCCTACACCTACTCCAAGAATACAACGCACGGGCAACATTCTTCCTCATCGGGTCACAGATCCCCGGCCGGGAGGGGATACTCCACACGCTAGTGAAGAGCGGGATGGAACTAGGGAACCACGCGATGCACGACGAGCCATCTGTGTCTTTGGGGAGGGAGGTGCTAGAGCAGGAGGTGCAGGAGGTGGAGGGGGTGATTGCGAGGGTGTATGAGGAGGTTGGGGTGGAACGGCCGAGGGATGGGAGGGGGGTAGTGCGGAAGTGGTTTAGACCTGGATCGGGGTTCTTTTCCGGGTGGATGAGGGAGTTTGTGAAGGGGCTTGGGTATAGGATTGTGCTTGGGAGTGTGTATCCGCATGATGCGCAGATTGGGTGGGCGGGGGTGAATGCGTGGCATGTGAGCAGTTTGGTTAGGGAGGGGAGTATTGTTGTGATGCATGATCGGAGGAGTTGGACTGTTGAGGGGTTGAGGAGGGTGTTGCCGGTTTTGAGGGATAGGGGGTTTAGGGTTGTTGGGTTGGGGGAGGCGATGGGGATTGTTGATGCTGCTAATAATGCTGGTGGTGGTTCTAGTGATGGGGGGAAGGAGGATGATTGATGGATTGGATTGGATATCAGGTGTACAGGTATCATCAACACTAACATACAGGCGTGTTCCTGACAAAAACACACACACACACACACAAACACGAACAAAGAAATACATGGTATCGAACTACTCGTTTCGCTTCCATTCCTCCACGTTGCGCCGCATCTCTCCCTCCACGTCGTATCCTCGACTCGCGTCTTCCAGCAATTCCTCCTCGCGGTCCCGGTAGCGCTGCTCGGCGTCGCGCCGGCGCAGCGCCACCTGCTTCAGATACATCAGGTCGTTCGACTGTACCGCCTCTGCGAACTTGGCGCGCATGCGCGGGGAGTACAGCTGACAGCTTGCTTCGCGGCACCGAGACGGTCCGTCGCCAGGGAGCAGTCGCATGGACGTCGAGAACTTGCGCGCGATGGGATGTTTGGCCCGGACCAACGGCCACACCACGTCATCGTAGCAGTCCTCGCACACTGTCAGCTCTGGCAGTTGCGGCATGTAGTGCCACGTGCTGAGGATCCGTCGGTCCCGCCGACAGTCCCGCAGCACTACCTTGCGTCGAGCGTACGAGAGGAACTCGGTTACGTCGGGGCGCAGCATGTGTTCCTGGTCGGCGCGATTGGCCGCTATGTCTAGGCAGTCGATGTACCGGACGAACCGCGGGCTGTCTGTCAGAAAGTCACAGGCTCGTTCCTGTTTGGTGGAGCTCCGCTTGAAGGTGTCACGGTGCTGCGGCATCAGGACCCGTAGGTTCCGCACGCAGGCAGAGCACACATTGAACTGCGGGAGGTACATGTTCGTTTCCGGGTCCACAATCCGGTACCAGTGCTGCTCGGTGATGATGCGTCCCGGGCACGGCTTGATGCTGAGGGGTGGCCGCGTGATTTGGTGCAGCAGTTCGAGGTGGTCTAGCTGCTTCTTGAGCGTCTGCATCCACGCC